TGAAAAAAAAAAAAAAAAAAAAAAAAAAAAAAAAAAGTATATTACACAAGGCAGTATGTATATTAATGCATGAAACGATTTTATTTCAATTAATCACTTACACCTTCAACGTCAGTGTTCCTGTGGTCACTTGAGCCACTATGAATCATCCAATTCCATTTTCCAGAGCACATCACCTTTGCATCCACCAGATCCGCTATGGCAGAGCATTTCTTGAATCCACATATGATGCTCTCAATGGAAATCGCAACCCAAGCTACTAATACCCATTTAGGTGGGCAGGACTTCTTTCATTCAGCATTAACTGAACAGGCTGATTGTATAAATATTCCAAACTGGCATCGACTGAGGTGGTTCTAGCCTAAACAGCATCTTGTTTTTGGAAATAGAGTAACTGAGAGAGTGCCCTGTTATAGGAGAGACTTAATCCGTCTGGTGACTCCCTTTTCAGAGAGAGACTTGTCTTATGATCAGGCATATACAGCACACACGTGAAGGTAATTTTTAGGAGTTTCTTCGTGTGTCCTCTGAGGGCTCTCCAAACTCCCACGTTTGGATAAAAGTGTCTGTCTCTGCTGGGCAGTCACTTTCCTTCAGGAGCCACAGGCAGACACGGAGCTGCCAGGACAAGCGGATGGGCCTTCTCTACTTTCAACCCAACCTCGCACAAGTGCAGGCAATTTTTTTCCAGAAAGCTAACCTGATGTCTTCTGTGCTCATCTTAAGAACTTCCTACTGCTTCCACCAGGGTGGAGAATTAAAAAAACCTCCGCCTCCACTGTGTCGTTTCAACTCTGACCCACCTGTGTTAACACAGCTGGTGGGTACCAACCACCTCACTTCAGGGGCTTGGCTAGGCTCCTCCATTCACTGAAGACGCCCCACACTGGCACTCCACCTGGTCTAGCTAAGTCCTACCCAAGCTTCACAGCTCAGCTTGGCTGAGCCATCTCTGCCTTCCAAATGCTTCCTTGCCTATGGCCCCCTGTACCCAGTGAACCCAGGGACAAGCCTCTCTCACAGCGCTCACCACACTATTAGTCTGTCTCTACATCCCCACTGCTAATACTAACACTTACTGAGTGTACCCCACTGGCAAGAAACTATTAAGTGCCTCTCCTTCACGCCTCACAACAACCCTATGAGCTAGGTGCCATTCTTCAGATGGGAAAGGTGAGGCCCAAAGAAGCCAGACAAGGTGCCCAAGGTTCCATGGTGCCCAAATGGGAACTCAGGCCACCGGGCCGCAGGCTCTGAGCTCTTTCCCTTTAGTGTGCTGCTGCTCAGAGGTTCTGCGTTAGATCAGGGGCTTTGGGGGATCACAATAGCGAAGGCTTCCCAGATGCTTGTGGAGAGTGATCAGAACAGCCACTACCTGAGAAACTGCCTGTCACAGGAAGAGAGGCTGGAAACTTGACTCCTAGGACTGTCCACTGAGTGATGCTGGTTTAACAGAGGATCCCCAGGCTCCCTTCCAGTCAAAGCTAATCATCAATAACAAAACCCCTTTCTTTTCTCCAGAGATGTCCTCCACAGGTTTGCAAAAATAAAAACCCAAAACCCCCCAAATACAAAAAGAGTTACTGAGCAGTTAAGTGAGGCCTTTACCTAGTTCCAGAGTGAAAGAAGCCCATGCAAACCTCACCTTTGTTGGCAGGAGCAACAAACTATTCCAACTGTTGATCACACAGGAAAATGCTCACGGCAAGCCCACCTTTTGGTTTTCTAGTTTAACAATGACTTTCCAGGCAGGAAGAATTCATAAAGAAAATCGACTCCTTTGCATCCCATTTACACAAAAACGTTAGGCCTACAAGGATATTCACAGGGTGCTTCCCATACGTCAGGCATTTTCACAGACATCATTCCTTTCTCTGGCACCTTTAAAAGCTCCACCTAAGTCATCGGTCTCTTCCAGAAGAGGAAACCAAGGCTCACTGAGGTTACGCAGTTACATGGTTTCAACCTCAGGTCTCTGTAGTTACCCAGCCCCCATCCGTGACACTAAGTTTCTCCGAGTTTCAAGGTGTGGCGCAAAGTCCCCTTTCACTCTCATTTTCAAGCAGGGCGGCGGCCTAGGCTGGGGAGCGCGGCGGCGTGTCCC